GAAAAACCTACGACGGAAAAGAGCAATATGAAAGTAAGCATTAAATAGGAAAAGGACTGGCAGAAAAACATTCTTTCATAGTTAGTGTCAAAGATCGGAATCCACCAATTATAGGGATGTGCGATAGTACCATAAATGCATGAAATGTCTAATACGCACATACGATTGGACAGTCTAATTCAGTTTACAAGAGGTTGCACTTTATATTTTACACTCAGGTGTTCTCTAAGTAAAATTAAAGCGCTAGTAACAGAGATATAGGCAACTCCCTGCATAACTGACCCCTAACTTTCTCTTCCATGCTATGCCTACATTATGAATGATCGACGTGATGGCCATGACGAAGGCAGTTGCATCTATGCTAGGAAATCATTTACACTTCTGCCTTTGGATTGCCTGCAATTTAATTCGTTCGAAAAGAGCTTCTGGCTCCCATTTGTTTCAATGAATAACTATTGCTTACTCGTCTGTGTCTATCGCCTACTCAATGCCAGTGGCCACTAGAATCTTTTTCTCCCGAAGGCATTCCATTACGCAGCTGACTTAAATCTTAAGTACTGATTAATTGCGGGTGCCTTTAATCTTCCTAAATTGCAGTGGTTTCCACCCATAAGCCCTTCAAGTTTCGAGGACTTTCCTGAGGCCGTAGATATCGGCATGTGGTATCAGGTAGTCGAGGATCAAACATGCTTGATTTCATTTTCAGTAGAGGTTGCGAACCATTGTCAGTTTCATCTTCGGATGCACATTAGAGTTTTGATTATCTCATAGATCTGACTACACTAGAAATGGAGACAGACGAAACTTTTTCCAAAAATGTAGTTTTCCCATGACTTCCCATCAGCAAATACAGGGGAATTATTGGCACAGCTTAATTCCCACGACTGGTTTGACTCTTCCCGATGTTTGGACGTATAAGTTTGTAATGATAAACTACACAAAGTTTCGGATGCACTCATTTCTCGTTTTTATTTCCGTAAGAATATAATACATGTCAAGGATGACGCCTACCTCTCTATATCTTCCTGCCGTAGGCTGCATAGACTCTCATGTCGCTTCCACCAGCAGAAGGACATTCCGTTGTGCCCTTGATCCAGCTGATCTCTGAGCAGATTAAGAGGCTCTTCTTAATCTATATCAAGGACTGTGTCGACAACCTGGGTTGCAGCGTCATCGTGTTTGCTTACGATGTCAAACTCTGGAGAGCCATCATGTCCGACGCAGATAGGAAAGCATTTCAAGAGAATCTCAAGCGACTTAGCAGCTGGTCTGCTCGTTGGCTCTTATATTTCACCGTAAGTAAGTGTGCGGTTTCAAGGCTCCGTACTAGAACGACCGATGAGGAAGATGCTTCCTTCCAATAACTCCTCGATGGGGTATGGCTTTCAAATGTTGATGAACAGAAAGATCTCGGTGTTCTAATTAACTCCTCGCTCAAACTATCTTCACGGTGTATATAGGCATCTAAACGTGCGACACAGGTGCTGTTTGCGATTAGGCAGGGATTCGTCAACATCGACAAAGAACTCTTCAGAAAAAGGTACGGAGCGTTTGTTCGGCCCCACTTGGAGCCTGCCGTCCAGGCCTGGCGCCCGTGGTTTGAAAAGGATTATCTGCACCTGAAACGAGTGCCAGCGAGGGCCACGAAGATGGTCAAGAATCTTGGTCATCTCCCTTACGTAGACAGATTGACTGAAATTGGCTAATTTCCTCTCAGTTACAGGCAACTCTGTGGTGACCTCATTTAAACCTACCGAATTATCAGAGGCCTTGAATGCGCTCTAGAAATTGATGAATTCTTAGAATTGGATCGGATGGATCATCTGTGGGGTCACCCCTTTAAACTGCAGAGGAAGCCGGCCCATATGGCCGTTCGACAGATTACCTTCTCGCAGAGGGTTGTAGAATCGGATCGTGGAACGGACTACCTGGCGACGTGATCCTCTCAGGTACTGCTGACACTTTTTAACTCAAACTTGATTCTCATTTGCTGAAAACTGTGACAGATATAATGAACATAGTGACAGTAGCAGCAGTTTGTAACTGGCTCACACCTATCGCTGACGTTAAGCCTACGTCTGTATTATGTACTATTGGTGAGGTTAACGTCGTTTGCAATTTTTGGCTATGAATAGGGAACCTTTATTGAAACTTTGGTCGTTCCACTTCCGACCAGCCGGGCTTGGACGGGTGCCGTCCTCGAAACCATAAGTTTAACCACTTGGACGAGGCCGTACCGATTCGACGTTTTCGTCTATCTCGCAGTCCAGGCCAAGGTGGCGTCCCGGTCAGCCTTCGAGAAGCTGACGCATATGAACATTTTCCGTCTTTTCTGTGTTCGATATCTTAGCTTGCTGTTGAAGGCGACACATTTTCTGTTTTTGGAAGGAATCACACATGGTGCCTTTACACACGCACGGCCTGTCTATGTCATTTAATGACTTTAGGCCACTAAGTACACTTCCCACAGCCTCGAAGATCTTGGAGACCTTGATCTAGGACAAGCTGATGCGTCGTCTACTAGAAAACAACCTACTTAATGCGGCTCTGCATGATATCCTCGAAAAATATCCTGTGGCACCTGGCAGTCCTCTTTCTTGGATCATGTACTTCGAGGTAACGACAGCGGATTCGCACTTTATGCAGTATATTTTGATTTCACTAAGGCTTTTGGTCGTGTTGACCATGATCTCTCCCTTCTAAAACCTGCCTCTTTTGCCATAGATAACAAGCTTTTGAATTAAATGTCCCCCAGTTTGGATGCTCCCACACATGAAGTTAAAATTACTCACGTTATCTCTGACCCAACAGATGTAAGGAGAAGAGTTACTTAGGGTAGCCTTTTGGCCCTCTCTTACCTTGCCTTTTTTTCAACGATGTTTCTGATTGTTTTCTGTATGGTAGACTCCATATGTACGGTGACGATTTAAAGTTACCTATCGATATGATGCGGCAGATCACAAAATCGTGCTGGAGCTCTTTAAAAGGTAGCTTTAGACCTTTGTCCAGTCATGTTGTACATGGCGCCTTTTTCTTACTTGGCACAAATGCTGCGTTGTGGTTGTTGGCAACGATCATCAGACTAAACGGACCTCAGGCGGTTAACGTATAAAGGCGCTTGGAGTAATTTAGGATGTTGGCATATCATATTCTAATAGTCTTAATCTGTCAGACCACTCTGCCTTGATTGTCTCGAAACCACGCTCAAATAGCGGATTAATACTCAGAAATTTTAAAACCATCAAGGTAAGAACCAGCCTTTATAATATGTATGTAAAACTCAGTCTGGAATACTGCTCGTTTCTATTTAGCCTTCTGCGCGCTAGAAAGCGAAAGAAAATGGAATAAGTCTAAAATTTCTTTACTAAGAGTGTTTTCTCTTCAGAACATCGCAACCTGTCCTACCAACAGCATTGCAAGGACTACCTTTATTGTTTGAATTTCAAACGGTCGTACCTTTAACCCCTTAGTACTCTGAGGCAGTTCGGTGCAGCAGTCATTGATATGTATGTTTATTTCTTCCTTTGGCGCACACGGTTCGATACCGGTTTTTTTTTAGTAAACCCCATAGCAATCTGGAATAAGCTCCCCAGATCTATTAACATTCAGCAAAGCTATCTCTAGTTTAAGAAACCTATCACTAGTTTTCTATATTATGGACAACTTTCAGGAATTTTGGGAACTGACTCCATGGACTCTCCCTTCCACTCTGATGGTGGTCGCGGGCTCTAAATCATGTGCCAGGCTTCATTTTGAAGGCAATTGTGCTGAATCTGCAGCCCGCAATCAGCTAATTCTCCAGCCGACAGCAAGCAACCGTTCGCCGGCACACATTCCTCTGGTGCAGAATACCGGAACTCAGGGGAGACTGAGAACACTATGTTACTTTGCCAACCCTTCCCCGTCGCGAACTTCAATAAGCTGCAGTTTTTTCTCCCGAAAAACGATCAAGATAATTATCGGGAGTTCTTTCATTGTCAACTTGATCTTTTACAGTATATCTCTTTTGACTTTGCCTGTAAACTGGCTATCAATCAATAAACTAAATTAAATTAACGCATAAAAATGCTCGGGCTGCAAAACAGTTCTAGTCGATATTTTTTCTCGAAATTTCCTTGGCTCTTCTAAGACCATCAGCGCCTACTATCGCCCAATGTTTTGTGGCCTCTTTCGTTTTTCCATCGCAATACTAGATAAAGTAAGTTAGTATTTTCTTTGTTGTCGACGGGAACTCTTTAACAAAAACCCATAAAATTTCGGGTTCCCGTCGAATCCTTGAATTTCACTTTCTCAGATCCAAGTGATACTCTGTGATGCGCAGCAGAGGCTCAGTTTCATCATCCGAATTTTGGTATCTTCATTCCATTCCTTATTTTCTTTTCCAATAAGCTGCAATTTTCCAAATAATTTCATCTTCAATTTTTGTAGGCGTATTTCAGTAGCCTTTTTGTCCAGCCCTTGTCGTTCTAAGTCGCTTTTATGTCAAAGACAATCAGGAAAAATGTGAATTTTCAACGGTGTCCCGCACCAACGTCTTCCGCATAAATTGAGAGGGATGAACATTGGAGACAGATTCGTTACACCTACTGAGAGCTTTCTCGCGGGTTGTTCCCAAATTGTTTGTTGGACGACAATGATCAAGGCCAACGG